ATTACATGCACCAGCCCTGAAGTGTTAGCCTTTGGCGTTTAGATTTGAAAGAAGCCGTCCTGGCTTAATATGGTTTAAGTAATATGAAATTTCAGTGTAAGCTCCAGTTTAAACTGACAGTCGTAAATTGTTTTCTCTATCGATTATTGAAAAATCTGAAGTCAGATGATTTAAAACAGCAGTTTCTTATGTGGTATAAGTTCAAATGTTTATTGTACAATTGAATGAGCTTAAAAGTCTGCTGCAAGGTTGTCCTTCTTCATGGTAATGCTGTACCAACAAGAAGACATTTTGAGAAGTCATCATAATTTTAGGTCTTGGAAAGATTTCATATATGGCTGATTTTTCATGAGCTCTCAACCGTAAACAATCTAAAGCTAGGTAGCTAGGAAGGAAGCAAAGACAGGCTTCCTCAAGCTGCGTTCCTTTCCGGCCCTCATCGTGGACTCCTTTAAATAAGTGTACCTTGTTTATATTTCAGAGTTAAGTATCTTTCCTCAAACATGTTTTCTGCCTCAGTGCCTTTGCATATACTGTTCCTGCTCCTCCAAATTCTCTTCTCTAAGGTCACTTTTTAAAAACTTTTCTGAGAAAAATCTCAAATATGCAAAAATAATGAAATGGTATAAAAATCTCTTATTTACTCATTACACAGCTGCAGCTAGTAGCAACCATTTTGCCAATTCCACTTAGTTTTTTTTCCACAATTGTTTTCTTGGTGAAGTTCCTTGCTTCCCAGCCAGAGGGATCTGGTTTCCTCCCTGTGTACCTCGAAAAGTTACTGCATACCTTTTGTATGTACTTATTCAATAGCACTAATTACGCATTAGTGTGATTATCTTTTTAAAATTTTCTTCCCCACAGTAAGATATACCTTCCTCTATGAAGTGTGTATAGTAGTAACTTATTAGAGCATTTATTCAATTAAATACTTGAGTTAAATGAATTCTCCAAAAATAGTAGAAATAACTCATTTGTAACTGTACATAATGGTAAACAACTATAGATACATGTATAGTGTACATTTAGCAAAATTTTAAAGATAATCAATTTTGACCTTTATCTGATGAGAGTCTTTGTCTCCTGAGGCCTTTATCAGTATGTTCTAAAACATTGCTCTAATTATATAGTCTTAGGAGATACTGAGTTGTGGGAAAATATGCTGTGGGAAAACTAAAGAGTAATGATTTAAAACAAAAACAAAAACAGAAATAAAGACGGATCCTCAGTGAATCTTCTGGGATGGGTGTGGTAATCAAATGAGAAAGCAAAGAGAAATTACTCTCCTGACAGTAAGTGCTTTCAAAGATTTGATATTGTTCCCTTGAAACAAGTGAAATCAAACAGATATTTTTTAACTTATATAAGGTATGCAAAAGGCTTACAAAAATAACACAAACCATGCTGTTTAATCCACTATATATAGTACCTTTCCTACACTGGTGTGTCCATTCCCCATGCTGGTAACTTATATGAGTACTTGCTGCATTCACTACCTTTCCATATTACTAGGTTTAGAAGTGATCATTATTTTAATTATATTCTTATTAATTTTCATCCCTGAATGCAGTAAAATTGAAAAATTAATCAGGAATAAGTGTTCTGGAGTTGTGTGTACTTAGTTGCTCTCTTTAGAGAAATTTTACATTATAAGACCAAAAAGTTAATTTTATGTATGTTTTGAAAAATGCTACATGGAACTTAGAAATATCAACTGTAATCAAAAGTAAGTAGGATAGGGCCTATATATGAGCACAGGATAGATGTTCAGTGATGAATCTTTTAAGATCTCAAGGATAGATTTTCCAGATTAGTACTTTAAAATGTAAGTTGGGGTTCTAATGAAATATAATTAATTCAATGAAGATTTGAAAAATTGAGCTTTTAATGAAGTAGCACTGAACTTATTTTACCATTTCTTGGTCCTTTTGATTAGACCTATGATTTGTTTAATATTCAGGGATATGACTCCGAAATGAAATTTGAAGTGTCACTAATACTAGAAGATATAATAGTGGGTGAGTCTGTGACTTATCCATGGAAGAGAAGAAAAGAGATTTTTATAAATTCTACTTGTGATAAAAATAAGGGAAAATTAAGCTCCTAAGTAGTTTGGTGTGTCACGTCTTTTATTTAGTAATTGAGTTTGCATGGTTTTTTTTTTTTTGACATGTGTGTTTTCTGTACAGCGCAGAGCTTTTAAACTATGACTATATCATGCTTAGCAGAGTTTGCTGAATTGATTTCAAACTGATTTCCATACACAATATTTTAGTAGATATATCTGATTGTTCAATAATTCACCTAATCATATTAACTCATACACCACATACACTGTGCAAAATCCATTGCAGTAAAGATGGGCCATTAAAAAAAAAATCAGCCTTCAACTGGGGAGCCACCTTGCAAATATGATTATCTCTTGTAAGACCTTTCAAGCATTGAAGGATAAAAGACCTTGCCTTTGAGCAATGCAAGGAAAAAGGCATGTTACTGAATATATTTATTTACAGAGTAAAGTATAAACATTTTATAGCCTCAGAGAATGGCTTCTTTTGGAAAGCTCTCAAAACAAGAGTGGCTTAGGAATGGTTATAAGTAATTATGTAGTGCTAAGAAGCAGGATGTCTTGAAAAGAAGCAGATTTGTATGCTAGCTCTGTCCTCCTACAGCTCAGTGAGTGAACTTAACACATGCTATTTCACTTTGCTGAATTTTAGTTTCCCCATGTGCAAAAGGGCTTAAGTAATATTTAATTTCACAAGGTTACTGTGAGAATAAGTGAAGTATATATGTAAATATACTTGATTTATAGTATATTCTCAGAAATATCAGATGATTCTGAATTAGATATCGTGACACTGTTTATCTTATTGAAAGATAAAACTTGGGCTGCTTGTCTAAGAGAATGTGAAATGCCTTCAACTGGTAAATTGTTTTTAATCATTCAGGGTGGACTAGAGAGAGCTGTTTAATAAAGATTGTTTAAAATAGTGTTGATAAACCTTAGATATCCCTTGAAAATATCCTATATTCAGATTTTCACAAAGAGGAGGAAGACAGATTCTGTGAACTTTAGATGGGGGAGCCTCCAGTCCTAGGTGAGATTTCTGTATCACATCATTAGCAGGGTTGTTTTGAGCACTTAAAGCAAATGGTGCCTCCTGGGTTAACTGCGGGATTCACTAACTAGAGGCATAAAATAATTTCCTTTTTGACTGGATTACACCCTGGTAGACTAGGAAAATTCAGATAGCATGATGGGATTTCAGCAAGGTGTTTGGCAAAATCTCAAGATGTTCTTCTGGACCAGATAAGGACTTTTGTTCAAAGGTTGTTGACTAATGGGAGGAGAACAGCCTCTGGCAGATTTGTCCTCAGGGCTGTTCTCTTACTAGTGACTTAGATGAAGACCTTGATTACATGCTCATCATGTTTTCAAATGCAGGAAGCTGAGGGAGAGTCAATCTGAAGGGTGTCAGAATCTAGATGGAGAATTTTTTTTTAATTGAAGTTTAGTCAGTTTGCAATGTGTCAATTTCTGGTGTACAGCATATTTCAGTCATATATATGCATACATATATTCCTTTCTATATTCTTTTTCATTATAGGTTACTATAAGACATTGAATATAGTTCCCCGTGTTATACAGAAGAAACTTGTTTACCTATTTTACATATAATTGTTAGTATCTGCAAATCTGGAGCTCCCAATTTGTCCCTTTCCACACCCTACCTCCCCCCGTAACCATAGGATTCTTTGCTATGTCTGTGAGTCTGTTTCTGTTTCATAGATAAGTTCATTTAGAGTCTTCCTTTTACTTTTTTTAGAGTCCATATATAAGTGATATCATATGGTATTTTTCTTTCTGGCTTTACTTCACTTGGAATGATGATCTCTAGGTCCATCCATGTTGCTACAAATGGCATTATTTTATTCTTTTTTATGGCT